GAGAGAGAGAGGGGGAGGGGGGGGGGAGAGAGAGGAAGAGAGAGAGAGGAAGAGAGAGAGAGAGGAGAGAGGGGGGGGAGAGATGGAATAGAGAGAGAGAGAAGGAGAGAAATTGGATAGAGGTGGGGTGAGGGGGGTAAAGAGAAGAGAGAGGGGGGGTGGAAGAGAGAGAGAGGAGAGAGAGGAGAGGAGGAGGAGAGAGGGAGAGAAAAGAGGGGGGGGGGAGAAAGAGGGGGGGAGAGAGGGGGGTGGCATAGAGAGAGAGATGGAATAGAGAGAGAGAGAAGAGAGAGAGAGAGAGAGAGAAGGAGGTGGGGGGGGGTGGTGGGAGAGAGAAGGAGAGAGAGAGAGAGAAGGAGAGAGAGAAATGAGATAAAGTGAGAGAGGGGATATTGAGATAAGAGATGTACAGTAGAGAGAGAAAGAGAGGGGGGAGCCAACATGACAAACAGAGAAGGTAAATCTCCCCATCCAGGACTCAGAAGCTGAAAACACCCCACAGAGGTTCCATCACCTCTCTATTCATCATTACTGAGCCATGTACTGAAGATCATCAGCAATGACTGTAACTGGCTGGTTTCCCCCATAGTAACTGTTACCTATTTCCAGGCTTGCTATAGTCCCAGCAGCAGGCAGGCCAGTAGCTGTGCGATATATTTCTTTTTACGCATTATCCTGCGTTTCTGCGTCCCTTCACCCACGCATTTCCAGCGGCACGTTACACTGTTTGCTAGACAAACAGCTGGACTCCCAACCCAACACAAAAAGAATTATATCCGCTGCGGCGCTGCAACAAACAGTTCATTATACTAAGCCCCCTTATTCTCCACATGAGCAGTAATTGACTTATCCTCACCCCGCGCTCCGGCACGTATACAATGAAAGCGCCGAGATGTGTCATCACGTGTTTACAGCCCACAAGGTCACAAAACGCCGCTGAGAAGTAGAACCCTCCATTGCGGCGGTCTCTTTAATTGAGGGTGGCGACATATTAATGGCGTGCTTGGCAAGGAGCCGGCAGGCGAATGAGCGCAGAAACTAAATCTATGTACTATTATTTCCCAACAAAGGACTCCACCAGCACCATGGAGACTGGAGAGCCCGAATATTAGGTAGATTGTTAATGGGAATATTGTATGCAGCTTTTATTCATAAAGCGCAAAGACTGGTGGCGATGCATACAGTTCCTCAGATCCAGTACACACAGGAATTTAATCTTCGCTTCCAAATGCAAGTCTGAAGAGCGCCGCATTCAGAGAGCCATTACAAAGCGCTGAAGAAAGCGAAGTCCTTTGAGCAACCGCGCTCTACCGTCTGAAGAGCTGAAAATGAATCTGAAATCGCTGGCTGCAGCTTTAACAAGCATTAACACGCCGCAGAAAGCATTTATCAGGGCAGCTGACAATCACAGGGCAGCTGCAAAATGAATTGAGTTATAGTGGCAGTGACAGACCATGCCGGGCGGGGTCATCATTGATCCAGAGGAGATGGACATGAGGTGGTGTGAGGGACTGAATCCAGGGACTGACAGTTCCAAGGCAGCAGCTCTGCGCAGCAGGCTTGTAGGACAAATAGGGACGGAAAAGAGAGCAGCAAAAAAAAAAAAAAAAGCTAAGGAAGAGTTAAAAGCAGCAGGAGGAGAGTAGAGAGGAACAACAGGAGAGAGTAGAGAGCAGGAAGAGGAGGAGAACAGCAGAGGACATGAAAGAAGGACAATGGGGGGAGAGTGGAGAGCACAAAAGGAGGAAAACGACGGGGAGCGAGTAGAGAGCAGGAAGAGGAGGGCAGGGGGAAGAGAGTCTGGAGCAGGAAGAGGAGGGCAGTGGGAGAGAGTCTGGAGCAGGAAGAAGAGGACAGCGGGAACAGAGTATGGAGCAGGAGCAGGAAGACAGCAGGGAGCGGGTAGAGAGCAGGAAGAGGAGGACAGTGGGAAGAGAGTATGGAGCAGGAAGAGGAGGGCAGTGGGAAGAGAGTATGAAGCAGGAAGAGGAGGGCAGTGGGAAGAGAGTATGAAGCAGGAAGAGGAGGGCAGTGGGAAGAGAGTATGGAGCAGGAAGAGGAGGGCAGAGGGAAGACAGTATGGAACAGGAAGAGGAGGACAGGGGGAAGAGAGTATGGAGCAGGAAGAGGAGGGCAGTGGGAAGAGAGTATGGAGCAGAAAGAGGAAGACAGCGGGAAGAGAGTCTGGAGCAGGAAGAGGAAGACAGCGGGAAGAGAGTCTGGAGCAGGAAGAGGAGGACAGCAGGAAGAGAATATGTAGCAGGAAGAGGAGGGCAGTGGGAAGAGAGTATGGAGCAGGAACAGGAAAACAGAGTGAAGAAAGTATGGATCAGGAAGAGGAAGACAGAGGGAAGAGAGTATGGAGCAGGAAGAGGTGGACAGCTGGAAGAGAGTATGGAGCAGGAAGAGGAAGATAGAGGGAAGAGAGTATGGATCAGGAAGAGGAAGACAGAGGGAAGAGAGTATGGAGCAGGAAGAGGTGGACAGCTGGAAGAGAGTATGGAGCAGGAAGAGGAAGATAGAGGGAAGAGAGTATGGATCAGGAAGAGGAACACAGCGGGAAGAAAGTATGGAGCAGGAACAGGAAGACAGAGGGAAGAGAGTATGGAGCAGGAAGAGGTGGACAGCTGGAAGAGAGTATGGAGCAGGAAGAGGAAGATAGAGGGAAGAGAGTATGGATCAGGAAGAGGAACACAGCGGGAAGAAAGTATGGAGCAGGAACAGGAAGACAGAGGGAAGAGAGTATGGAGCAGGAAGAGGAGGACAGGGGAAAGAGAGTATGGAGCAGAAAGAGGAGGGCAGTGGGAAGAGAGTATGGAGCAGAAAGAGGAGGGCAGTGGGAAGACAGTATGGAGCAGAAAGAGGAGGGCAGTGGGAAGAGAGTATGGATCAGGAAGAGGAGGGCAGTGGGAAGAGAGTATGGAGCAGAAATTGACGGCGCTATAGAAGTACACTGCAGTTGCTTTCCAGTAGCTAGAAGGTAGCTGCGCATGCATGGTATACTTTTTGCGTCAGATCTGGGCAGGTGGGGTGTAGAGTAGGAATGGTGGAGTAAACCAGCCACTGATCTGGAGTGTGCGGTGAGGGGGCACCTGACCCTCCTGCCCGCCCCTTGTCCTAACTTCTGGGAAGGAATGATTTGGAGGGCGGGGGACAATACTTATATATATATATAATAAGTCAGCACAGATAATACATTTGCATTTTGTCAAATTTAGAATGAATAGATCTGATAGGTAGACGGTCGCTACGCTTGACGATGAACTGGAAAGTCGCTTTGATCGGCCTCCCTGCCCACATCTACGGCACATAATGGACCTCGGATCCTTCCGGTAACGTGCGCGCTGGAGAAGCCAAGGCTAGATAATATTTTTGTCTCTGACAAAACCATAGCAACCGCTGCCTCCACGAGATCCGGATAACCTTGAATACACTCATCTTCAGCCACCTCCTTGCGAGGAGATACTCCGGCGTCACGAAGAACCAAGCACAGGGCATCACCGATTTAAAGGGGAACTCCACTCACACCGAATACAAATACCTTTTTAAAAAAAAAAATAAAATTATGCTCTCCAATCCGCAGATCCGAACCATCCTGCGGGGATCATCAGAGAGGGTGTCACCAAGTGTTATCGCACCGGGTGACACCAACCCTAAGGATGCCCCTGCTGTAGATGATTCCCGAGTGATGGGAGTTGAAATTATTATTATTATACAGGATTTATATATTATTATTATTATACAGGATTTATATATTATTATTATTATACAGGATTTATATATTATTATTATTATACAGGATTTATGGCGCCAACAGTTTGCTCAGCGCTTTACAATATAACGGGAGACAATACAGCAACAATACAGTTCAATACAAGAGGGATAGGAGGGCCCTGATCCTGGGAGCTTACAATCTAAGAGGGAGAAATGACTGGAGTGACGGTGACAATGCAGGAGAGCAACTGGGAGACGGGGATAGAGCAGTGCAGACCTATAACAGGAATACATTCTCCACATGTCAAGAAATGGAGCAAAGTATCTTTTTTTTTTTTTTAGAAAAACTTCATGTTTTATCAATAAAAATCCATCATTGATCTCCATTCAGTGACTGTGCCTAGGCTACGATGATATCATCACTCCGCTGCAGGCGGGAGGAAGCATTTCCTAACTCTGACCTACAAAGCCATTCACAACGCCGCCCCAAACTACCTAACCGACCTGATACCCAAATACCACCCTACCCGTGCCCTTCGCTCCTCACAGGACCTCCTACTTTCTAGCTCCCTAGTCTCCTCCTCCCACGCCCGACTGCAGGACTTCTCCAGGGCTTCTCCCATCCTCTGGAACTCCCATACCCCAATCCATCAGACTGTCACCTACACTCCTCACCTTCAGGCGCACCCTAAAAACCCATCTCTTCAGGGAAGCCTACCCCGCCCTCACCTAACAACTGATCTCCTACACTCCTCCTACCACTCCATCCCCCACAGCCACTTCCTCCTGTACCACTATCCCCTCCCTCCTAGATTGTAAGCTCCAAAGAACAGGGACCTTGGAGCCCTCGTGTTCTGTTTTGTTACTGTATTGTCTCATGTACTGTCCCCCACTATAATGTACAGCGCTGAGCAAACCCTTTGGTGCTATATAAACACTATATAATAATAATAATATAATAATAATAATTTCCTCAGTCACCCCCCAGAGACTGCAACACTGTAACTTTGTAGCAAATCACAAGATGAGATGCAGCAACAGGAGTTGCCCTTTACCTGTGCCTCTAGACCACAGGTGTCAAACTGGTGGCCCTACAGCTGTCGCCAAACTACAAGTCCCATGAGGCATTGCAAGACTGACAGTTGCAAGCATGACTCCCATAGGCAGAGGCATGATGGGACTTGTAGTTTTGCAACAGCTGGAGGACCACCAGTTTGACACCCGTGCTCTAGACCAGCCTTTCTCACCCAGGGTGCCCAGGCACCCTGGGGTGCCTTGAGGTTTCTTCAGGGGTGTCCTGAGGTTTCTTCAGGGGTGCCTTGGCTAAATGTCTAAAAATTGCCCAAAACTTGTATGCAAGCCAGCAGGGGGACAAGCCTGCCTTTTAGTTACACAAAGCCTCAGGCTTTCATTGTGCACCATTATGACCTTCTAGCCGCCGGCCTCCTGACAACCAATGACATCATCAGTTGATAAGGAGGATGTCAGTTGCCTGCACAGCATCCTAGTTGGACCCTCCAAAAAGTGTATTTGCTTTGGAAGAATAGGTCACCTCTAATTTCGGGTGCCCTACGTGTGTGGGTGTTGCTGCCTTATATAAAACTTTTCACATTTACAATGGGGTGCCCTTTTAAAACTTATGGACAGTCTTGAGGCAACCCATTTTGGAATGGGGTGCCTCAAGACTGTCCATAATTTTAAAGGGTGCCCCAGGGACTGTCCATAATTTTAAAGGGTGCCTCGGGACTGTCCATAATTTTAAAGGGTGCCTCGGGACTGTCCATAATTTTAAAGGGTGCCTCAAGACTGTCCATAATTTTTAAGGGTGCCTCAAGACTGTCCATAATTTTTAAGGGTGCCTCAGGACTATCCATAATTTTAAAGGGTGCCTCAAGACCGTCCATAATTTTAAAGGGTGCCTCAAGACCGTCCATAATTTTAAAGGGTGCCTCAAGACCGTCCATAATTTTAAAGGGTGCCTCAAGACCGTCCATAATTTTAAAGGGTGCCTCAAGACCGTCCATAATTTTAAAGGGTGCCTCAAGACCGTCCATAATTTTAAAGGGTGCCTCAAGCCGTCCATAATTTTAAAGGGTGCCTCAAGACTGTCCATAATTGTAAAGGGTGCCTCAAGACCGTCCATAATTTTAAAGGGTGCCTCAAGACTGTCCATAATTTGTAAAGGGTGCCTCAAGACTGTTCATAATTTTAAGGGTGCCTCAAGACCGTCCATAATTTTAAAAGGTGCCTCAAGACCGTCCATAATTTTAAAGGGTGCCTCAAGACCGTCCATGATTTTAAAGGGTGCCTCAAGACTCTCCATAATTTTAAAGGGTGCCTCGGGACCGTCTATAATTTTTAAAGGGTGCCTGAGTGAAAAAAGGGTTGAGAAACACTGCTCTAGACCATTCCAGGTGAAACGCGTCAGCGGGACATGGCCAATGGGCGGGAACTGAGCTGAAGCCGAGATCTTTGTATGATGAGATTCACAGAGCGCGACCTGCGTACAGTATTGCGCCGCAAAGATGTGGGCAATTCCTTTCCTTACGAATCGAAATTCAGGCGAAATTTTCGGTATTCAGAGATTCAGATGTATTTGAATCTCCGAATCACAATGGTAACAAATTTCAACAAATCCGAAATAAATGACAGTGAATTAATGAACAAATTCTCTGAAGTCGAAAATAGGTAAGGTAATGCACTTAGACAGCCGCCCCCAGAGATGGACATCGGAGGACTCAGCACTTTCCAGCAGCTCGTAACCCTCCGGAGCCCCGAGGAACACTTGCTGCAAGGAGAGACTCCCGCCCTCTAATGAAGCCGAGGATTAAATGGTGGCTGAGCGACGCTCAATCAGGAATAAGTGCGCCCCGTAATTTATACCCGGGTGGCGGCAATTATTACTCATTTGTAAGAGTCGGAGTTTTCCCGTCTGATCGGCTCTGATTGACGCACATAATCCGCTACTGACACAGCCGGTGAGCGCCGACACTCCACTGAATTATCCCTCCGATCTTTCATACGGAAGTCCCAGCTGGATGCTTGCCAAACTAGGACACAAAGAATTCTCAGGGGTTTTATCAAATAAAGACACAATTACTAAAATGGTCGATCTTTTCAGCTGGCGCTACATGAAATGGCTTGATGACACGCAGCGGGAAAGTTGGAGTGTTGGATCACGAGTGGTGGGAAAATTGGAGTGTTGTATCACGAGTGGTGGGGCAAATTGGAGTGTTGGATCACGAGATGGTGGGAAAGTTGGAGTGTTGGATCACGAGTGGTGGGAAAGTTGGAGTGTTGGATCACGAGTGGTGGGAAAGTTGGAGTGTTGGATCACGAGTGGTGGGAAAATTGGAGTGTTTATGGATCACGAGTTGGTGGGAAAATGTTGGAGTGTTGGATCACGAGTGGTGGGAAAATTGGAGTGTTGGATCACGAGTGGTGGGAAAGTTGGAGTGTTGGATCACGAATGGTGGGAAAATTGGAGTGTTGGATCACGAGTGGTGGGAAAGTTGGAGTGTTGTATCACGAGTGGTGGGAAAATTGGAGTGTTGGATCACGAGTGGTGGGAAAGTTGGAGTGTTGGATCACGAGTGGTGGGAAAATTGGAGTGTTGGATCACGAGTGGTGGGAAAATTGGAGTGTTGGATCACGAGTGGTGGGAAAGTTGGAGTGTTGGATCACGAGTGGTGGGAAAGTTGGAGTGTTGGATCACGAGTGGTGGGAAAGTTGGAGTCACCCGATCACAAGTGGTGGGAAAGTTGGAGTGTTGGATCACAAGTGGTGGGAAAGTTGAGTGTTGGATCACAAGTGGTGGGAAAGTTGGAGTCACCCGATCACAAGTGGTGGGAAAGTTGGAGTGTTGGATCACAAGTGGTGGGAAAGTTGGAGTGTTGGATCACGAGTAGTGAGAAAGTTGGAGTTACACTGATCATAAGTGGTGGGAAAGTTGGAGTCACCCAATCACAAGTGGTGGGAAAGTTGGAGTCACTTGATTACAACTGGTGGGAAAGTTGGAGTCACCTGATCAAAAGTAATGGGGAAAAGTTGGAGTCACTGATCAAAGTGGTGGGGAAATTGGAGTCACCTGATCACAACCGGTGGGGAAAGTTGGAGTCACCTGATCAAAAGCGGTGGGAAAGTTGGAGTCACCCGATCACAAGTGGGAAAGTTAGTGGTGGTGGGAAGATGGAGTCACCTGATCACAAGTGGTGGGAAAGATGGAGTCACCTGATCACAAGTAATGGGAAAGTTGGAGTCACCCGATCACAAGTGGTGGGGAAGTTGGAGTCACCTGATCACAAGTGGTGGGGGGAAGTTGGAGTCACCTGATCACAAGTGGTGGGAAAGATGGAGTCACCTGATCACAAGTGGTGGGAAAGCTAGTGTCACCCAATCACAAGTGGTGGGAAAGTTGGAGTCACCTGATCCATGTAATGTTCAGTTTTTCGAATGAAAATCCATTGAAAATAATGCCTCGGTTTATGAATTTTTTTTTGCGCATTTACAAATTTTTTTAATCATGTCCCTGTACAATATTTATGCCTTTAAAGTTCACTTTATAAAGAATTTTGAACAGATAAAATATTTTTTTACTTTTTGCTGAACTCTGAACGGATTAATTGGTTTTCAATGCATTCCTATGGGAAACAGCGTTTCGGTTTACAAATTTTTCGCACTACGAAAAGTCCCGGAGAACGCATTCAGTTTGTAAACCGAGGTACACCTGTAATTGGTTTATGTGAAAGTTATAGCGTCTACAAATGGCGGTATAGATACTGGAATTTTTTTTCACACTGATGAGGTGTGGAATTGGCAGCGTTTTCTGTGCGAATCAGAATCGCGCCCCGTTCATGCGAACCACTGCGGGTGTGTATGTTAAGTTAACAACACCCCAAAAGCGGTGCGATGAGCAGAATCGGATGGCACAGGTGTGAATACCCATGCGATCCGATTCTAGTGCGGAACCAAAAAAGGGTCCTGCATGTTTTTGGTGCAATGTGATTTGAGAGGCATACAAAATGTAGGGCTCCGATCGCACCGCACACAAATCACGTGATTCGGGCAGGAATGCGGTGCAATTCCTGCGCGAATCACATGCGATACACTGCACCGCATGTATGTGAACCCGGGCTTACAGTTCTCTCTTTCCATCAGAGTCCCTCGGCAATCACCAGGCTCCTGTGAGTAATCACCGGCTGGGACCCGGTGATAAACAGCCGCGGCTAAGAATGGTGGCGTGCCGGGTCAATCACAGGGTCCCAGCCGCACCGGCACCTGGTGATTGCTGAGCATAGGGCATGCGCGCGCCTCGTGTGGGTAGGGCATGCGTGCCTCGTGTGGTTAGGGCATGCGTGCCTCGTGTGGTTAGGGCATGCGCGCGCCTCGTGTGGGTAGGGCATGCGTGCCTCGTGTGGGTAGGGCATGCGCGCGCCTTGTGTGGTTAGGGCATGCATGCCTCGTTTGGGTAGGGCATACAAGCGCCTCGTGTGGGTAGGGCATGCGTGCGCGCCTCATGCGGACTAGGGCATCAGTAGGGCATGCGTGCGCCTCGTGTGGGTAGGGCATGCGCGCGCCTCGTGTGGGTAGGGCATGCGTGCGCCTCGTGTGGGTAGGGAATGCGCGAGCCTCGTGATTTTGCGCATGGCTGGTGCCCTGCAGCGGTCTTTCTGCTATGGGGCGGAGCTAAAGCGGTTAAGGTAACGATAACAATTCAAATGGCGCAATTTGGATGGACTTTTGTCTTTTTTTCAGCCAGACTAACTATGTAAATACCAAGAACACAGATTTCCTCAAAAGTCCAAAAGATGCTTCCAACCCCGGAAGGGCCCCTTTGGCCCCGTCCTGCACAGGCGTTTCGCACGGCGACAACGCGAGGCTCGCCAATTGCAAAGCCGAGGCGACCGCCAAGCGCGTCTCTACCATGAAGTCAAAAAGTGTTAAAAAATCCATCAAACAGCCTATAAATGTCTCCATTTAGATCGCCGAAACTCCCCCCCCAGCTATCCTCTCCGCCCCCGACGCCCAGGCCGGGGCCACGCCGATTGGCGAGAAGCGCAGTTGGGTTGTCTGAAGCGCGAACGCAACAAAAGAAAATCCCTCGAAAGATTTTGTTTACTGGGAAGCGGCGTTTCTAAACGCTGCGCGGCGGCACGAGAGTTTATCCGGGAATACAGCGTTCTGAGATGAAACGCAGGAAAGAGATGGCGGACGTCGCCCGCGGCACAGTTCACCGCCGCCTCTCAAGACGGGTGGTTTGAAGTGCGATTCTGGCATTGTTCACGCATGACACATGTCTATCAGAAAAAAAGCTGCAAAATCGCAATCGTCATCCTGTTCTGCATTCTGTATGGCTCAAAACGCATTGCATCCTCACTAAAAAGGCGCAAGACCCTCCCCCACCGCACTTGATCCGCACTGCGCAATGCGAATTCTGATCGTCGCACCGCATTTTGCGATTTGTGTCGGGGTGTTGTGAATTTAACATTGACACCCGTACCAGATCACACGGACGCCGTGCGATTGCAACGCACAGGATTCGCTGCATTTCCCACACCGCCTACGGCTAGGTTCTCACCCGTGCAGGTTGCGTTTGACCCATTTCTGCATTGTGTTTCGCGTTTTTGCTGCGGTTTTTGCTGCGTTTTCCTGGGGGGGGGGGGGTAATTTTTTTAATTTCTCTTGTTGCTAGGCAGATCTAAAAAGCATCACAAAAGTGGCAAAAAAAGCATCAAAAAGGCAATACAAGCTTTTCTGCAACTTTCCATTGAAGTCTACAGAACCAAAAACGCAACTTTTTGCATTCCACGTTCGCAGTGATTCCTTTTTCGAGCGCTGCGTTTCTGGAAGGGGGCGGGGACTTTTAGTCTGGGTTCACACAGATGCGGTCCGGAATCCGCAGCGTTTTCTGTGCGAATTCCGCATCAGAATCGCGCCTCGTTCACGTGAACCGCTGCGGGTGTGTATGTTAACAACGCCCCGAAATCGGTCCGCAAAACGCAGTGCGATGTGCAGAATCGGATCCCATAAGTGTGACTACCCGTGCCATCCGATTC